TTTTTTGTTTTTATTTTTATTTCCGTTAACAAAAATGTTTTTTCACTTCTAGTTTTCGTTATTTCGTTAGTTTTCGTTAACGATAATAACCTTGTTACATACAGCACCAAGGGCGGATAGCACAAAAGTGATCGGGAAAGTTCACCTGTTAGCTGTAATGTTCAGTTTTGTAAAGCACTTTATGAATGAGGACTGTGATATAAATTAGCCTTTGTATGTGTTGTTTCATGTCCTCTTTAAAGCACTTGAGACTTGAGTAACCAGCTACTGATGCAGTTATGTGTTTTTGTAATGACTTTTTGTGTTGCAGTGTTTACTTAGTGTTAAACATGTAAGAGTGTTTATTCTTTTTTTTGCAGATTCTGACAAAACCTTTGAGGTCTGGATCAAGCGGTGTGAGGAGATGATGGAAAGTAAGTAGCTTCCTCTGTACTGTGCAAAAGTCTTGATCCAGCCATTGTTTGCAATAGCTCATCAGGCTTTATGAAAGTCTTTCAAAGTTTCTCTTTGGACATTGGCTACTTTTCACTCATTTTCAGTCCACTCCTTGTACCTAACAATTTTCAGAAGAATCAGGTTTTATTCTTTCAAGCTAACACTTGACCAGTGAAGCTTTTACACATGCAAAATGCATCTAAATCAAGGGATGAAGCAGTGACATATCTACACATAACAGACAACTTGGCAAAGAGCAATTTTAACCCCACAGCCAAAAAAGGCTGATGGTGTTTGTCGTCACCCCAGTGGGCGGGTGGCATGAGCACCCAAGATTGTGAACACGATAACTCGAGAACGAGGCAATATAGGATTTTCAAATTGATATTATAGGTGCATCTTCTAAGAGGCCGAGGAGTAGCACTGGTCACTGCAAGTTTTTTTAATTGTCTGTAGGCACCAGAGATGGGCAGTAAAGCGTTACTTGTAACGCGTTACTGTAATCTGATTATAGGTTTAAAATAGGTTTAAATGTTAAACTAATTTCTTCAAGTCAGAGAATGGTGCATATAATTTAATTTTTGCTTGATGCATAAAGTTAAAAGATTAAAACTGATAAAACAAGTTTAAAAAAAAAGACTTTTCCATTTGATTACATTGTGTATGATGGATTATGCAGAAAAGGTAGACTTGGGCTGAAAGATCTATCGCTTTATCACCTATTCAGGTTGTAAATCGTGTTTTTAAAAAGTAACTAAGTAA